GCAAGTTACTATGGCAGAGGAAGACAAGCCGGGGCTCCCTAGCACTGCTGCAGGAGCCCGTGTTTACCTGTCTGTGCCTCTCATCTTTCCATTCCTTGCACAGTCTGTCTGCATTCATAAACTGACAGACTGACACGGCACTCGGGCTTGATTCTGGGCTTAAATATTTTGAAGTCAATTTTTTAAAAGTTAGCCCTGCTGGTACGACTCAGCGGATTGAGCGCTGGCCTGCAAACCGAAAGGTCACTGGTTCAATTCCCAGTCAGGGCACATGCCTGGGTTGCCAGCCTGGTCCCCAGTTGGGGGCACGTGAGAGGCAAGCAATCGATCTCTCTCTCACACATTGATGTATCTCTCTCTCTCTTTCTCCCTTTCTCCCTCCCTTCCCCTCTCTCTGAAAAGTAAGTAAATAAAATCTTAAAAAAAAAAGTTAAACTTAGCCCTAGCCCATGTGGCTCAGTTGGTTGGAGTGTTTGTCTCCCCCAACACATCAAAAGGTTAAGGGTTTCATTCCCAATCAGGGCACATACCTAAGTTATGGTGTGCAATCTCCAGTTGAGGCACATATGGGAAACAACCAATCGATGTTTCTCTCTCACATCGATGTTTTTCTCTCTCTGTCTCTCTCTAAAATCAATAAACATACTTCTAAAATTTAAAATTAAACATATGAAAACTCACTTTATAATGAGTTTTTAAGTACAGTAAATGAAATGTTGACAAAGTGAGTTAAAGAACAATGAAGGCATCTCAAATATTGCATAAGTATTTAAGAGGAAAAAATAGGTAAAAAATCAGTTAATATGATCATTTCTGTTTTGAAATCTGGTAAATGCAGTTTTTAAAAATTACTGTCATTGATGATAATTGTAGCATTTTTATTATATTTTTTAAATATTTTAGTGTTTTTTAGAGAGGGGGCAAGGGAGAAAGAGGGAGAGAAACATCAATACATGAGAGACACATTGATTGGTTGCCTCTCACAGGCCCCAACTGGGCACCTGGCCCGCAGCCCAGGCATGTGCCCTGACCGGGAATTGAACCAGGAAACTTTCGGTGTGCAGGCCAGCACTCAGTCCACTGAGTCACGCCAGCCAGGGCAGATGTAGCATTTTCAGGTGGCAGGGCACAATTTAACCTTTTCTCTTTATTGGGAGGCCAGTCTATTCTTCCTGTGGCTGGGTTGGTTTCTGCATGTGCAATTATAATCAAGTTGCATTTTACTAAGCACTTGCCTTCTGCAGGGGGAGGAAACTTCTCAGCTCTAGGTCAAGTTACTATGTTCTACACCTTCAAGGAAGGGACAGGTGAGGACTGTTCATTTAAGACTAATAATAGTAATTGTAGCTAACATGGAGCATTTCAATGTGCTGTGAACTGTATTTATATATGTAACCTCATTTAATCCCCACAGTAATTTTATGAGTTATAGACAGTTTTTATCCCTACTTGACAAAGGAGGAACTGAAGCTTATGGAGGTAAAGAAGTTGTCCAAGGTCACTTGGCTGATGAGTGGTAGAGGTAGGATTTGAACCCAGGCAGTCTGTCCTCAGAGCCAGTGAACTTCCCGGTACATAGCTGTGTGGCCCCTTACGCACTCTTGGAAGGGCAAGTCTGGAAGACCATTCAGCAGAGGACGAAGGGGTGCTTAACAGAGAGTCCTCTGAGGATGCTCTTGGGGGGGTATTCCTCCACTCAGGTAACTCAGGCCTTGGTATCCTGGGGTCCAGGGCAAGGGACATGGTAGGAGTGGGACCAGCCTGAGGCCAGGCAGCCCAGGCCTCACCTTAGTCCCAGTCGCCTGGTCTACAGCATGTTTTTTGTGCTGTTACGTGTCCAACATTGTTGTGGAAACCCTGGAGATCACATTGACATTATAGATGGCGTCCCTATCCACAAGGCTATTACAGTTTACGTGAGAGGATAGAATGTGGCAATTTGGGGGTGGGGTGGATGGTCATGAATGTTTTCTAAAATGCTTCACTTTTTCTGTGCCTCCCTGATCATATATTTTTTTCAGGAAGTTCACAACAGCGTTCAAACCATTCCCAGGTCTGAATTGGCTCTCAAAAAAGGAATCACTGGGGGGATGGGAGGAGAGGAAATTGAATGAAGGTGGTCAAAATGTCCAAGCCTCCAGTCATAAGATAAATAAGTTGTAGGGATGTAATGGACAACATGATGACTTTGATTAACACTGCTGTATGTTTGAAAGCTATTAAAAGTAGATCCTAAGAGTTCTCATCAAGAGGAAAAAACCTTTCTCTCTCTCTCTCTCTCTTTTTTTTGTTTTATATTTACAGAAGATCATGGGTGTTAACTAAACTTATTGTGGTAAGCGTTTCATAATGCATGTAAGTCAGATAATTATGCTGTACACCTTAAAGTTACACAGTGTTGTATGTCAATTAAATCTCAATAAAGCTGGAAAAAAGGAAAAGAATCACTTTCCTTACTGACATTGGCTGCCAATCTGGCTGCCTTCCCTCGTGATGTTTGTAGCGTATATTCCCCATCTTACATGAGTGTGCATGTTTCTGGGGTTCTTCACTTTCACAGAATCCTCAGACCCCAGTGAACTCCAAAGGAGTTCACCAGCAGCATTGGTGGGCAGAATTTGCCTCACCCCCGCCCTGGGCCTTTTCCAAGGCAAGCTGCCTGGACTGAGGAGAGACGGATCCAGCTCAGACCCTCCGTCTGTCGAGTGGGCTGGGAGGAGGAGCAGGATCTCCTGTGTCCAAGCCAAACCCATTTCAAGCCACAATTACCTGGTTTCAATTCCAGCCCCATTTTGTCAGGCGTCATGTGTCCCTCCACATCCCTCCATGTAGCCACAGATTGCATGGCTAGTGGGGGCAGCAGCAAAACAACAAGATGCCTGGGACTCTGCTGAGTGTTGAAAGGATGCCCCTCATCTGTTCTTTGTATTGTCCTTTTGTTACCTACGTTTACTCTCCAAGGTGTGCTAATATCAAATGTGTATTGACGAAAAGGTGAGAGATTTGTCACCCTTACCCAGAGTTGTGCTGCTGGATGCTTACAACCAGCTCTCAAAATAAAGCCCTGGCTTTCAGTGTTTGTCCCTTTCTGAGGTGTAAATACTCCTAAGCTTCCCAGCACAATGTCACTACAGACAGAGTTGAGAGGAGATAGACAGCAGCATATCTTTACGTCATGTTTCCATAGACAAGACAATAGATCTCAACAACCTGAAGAGCAGTGCAAAAGGTGTTAGGATAATTAGGAAGCTGTATGTTTTGATTAGTTTAGTAGTACCTTTGTTTTTAATGTAACTTATTGGAAGTATTTATCATTTAATTTTCAATAATGGCAGTATTTAACAACTGGTTCACAGATTTCCTGAAAATTTAACAATTATCTCTTGTAAACCACAGTGAGCTGGCTCCATCCAGCACATTACTGTTCTTACTCTTCACCTGTTTGAAAAAACATTGTTAAGGGGAAGGAATTTTTGTGTCGGGTGGGGAGGCCTAAAGAGCCATGAGAAAGGAAAGACCCAATAGTAACTCCCTGGGTGGGGAAGGAAGCGGGGGCTATGCATTGGGTTCCAGGTGCCTAACCCCGTTTGTCCGGTGGTCCATCAGCCTGCCCCACACTGCTGAGAATTATCCAGACCCCCAGTAAAGCATAAACGTGAACTTCTGTGCCTTCGAGGAGGACTCCTCTCTGCGGGTCCCTCGAGCCTTGCTTCATCAGAGAGGCCTTCACTGTGCCCCCCAACTTAGAGATGATCCCCATGGTATCCTCTCCCAGCCCTATAATCCCAGAAGCGCTCTCCACAAGTGGTCACCACCACATTCACATGTGGGCTTCATTGTCTGCTGCCGCCGCTCACGGGGGTGTCCAGCCTGCGGCCCGCTGGCCGCACGCGGCCAGCGATGGCTGTGAGTACAGACCAATGCAGAATCATAAATGTACATAAAACCTTTTTTTTTTTTCTCTTTGTTAGTGTTTGTATATTTAATGTGTGGCCGGAAAACCCCAAAAGGTTGGACGCCCCTGGGGGGGATGGAATCTCGGGGGGCCACAGCACCCAGTGCCTGGTGGGTGACCAGCACGTAGTGGGCACTCGGCCAAAGTCCTGAGAGGGTGGAGAGAAGGGGGAGAAGACAGCCAGGGGGGTTCATCTTCGTACTTGATTTCTTCGTCCCAGAGGAACCGCTGTTGTGAGTGTGCTGCGTGCCATGGATACAAGGGATGTGCCAGTGAGGTGCTCTCAGCTGCTGGTCACAAAGATCTATTTGAAATGACTTGAACAGGAAGAGAAATCCATTACTTCACTAACAGGAAGCCCCAACATAGGGTGGCTCCAGATTGCTGTTTTCAGCAGTTTGACAGTATCTTCAGAGACCCCAGTTCTTCCCTCTTTCTTCCCTGCCTCCTTAGGGATAGACTCAGGCCAGATCCACCATGGCTGCTAGGGCTTGGAGGCACCACCTGGACATAGTTACATCCTATGGAAAAGGCATCAGTTCCTTCCTGTGTTGCTCTTTAGGGACAGGACAGTTCTCACAGAGGCCACATGCCTTGCCCTCATCCAGCCTTGAAAGGGGGCTGGCACGACAAGGTTCTCAGGGTATGGTGCCCAGACCAGCAGAATAAGCATCTCGTGGGAGCTTGTTAGAAACTGTTGGGGTCAGGCCCAGCAATCTGAACTTTAAAAAGCCCTCGTGATTTGATGCTCGCTGAAGTCATAAGAACCAAAAAATGTGGCGGGACTAATTGTGACTCACCGTAGGGGGAAACGCCTGAACCCAGCTGGGACTGCGGAGGGGAAGCGGGGAGGCCGGTGGAGACTGGCGAGGTTGAGCCATGCTCAGTGACTGGCTGCCCTTGCAGATGACCCCGCTTCGAACCAGGGCAATGAAGGAAAGACCCAGGGTCCTGTGATGCCAGGCAAGGGTGCCCAGGCGGGAGGCAATAACCGATGACCGGCCGTGTTTGAACCTTGCCACCTTTGCTCTCTCCTTCCCACCAGCTACCAGAAATTCACTGACTGTTACAAGCGCTTTTACCAGTTGCAACCTGAGATGACACAGCGAATCTATGACAAGTTTATAACTCAGTTGCAGACATCTATCCGGGTGAGTGGCAAGAAACCCAGCAGGCACTGTTGGCTTGGGCCCTGCCTCCCTGCCGTCACCCCACTTTCCATCCTCAGGCCCTATAACTGTCCTTTGTGCTCGTCAGGCTGCAGTGGCAATTGTCCCTCCCTTCAAACAACGTGGGTGTCTTAAATGCCCCTTGTTCTGTATTGTAATTGTGTGTTTATATGCTGTCTGCCTGGCAGACCTGTGAGTTCAGCAAGGACACAACTGGGTCTTACTCTTTGTACCTTCAGCACCTGGAGCAATGCTTGGCACGCAGGAGGCATTTAACAAACTGTTGAATTCCATGGAACTGCGTACCAGAGGGAGCACGAAAAACGGCAGTGTTCCCTTCATGATCTCTCTTGAGAATTAAACTGCCCTGCTATTACACTTCAGGGTGGGCCTCTTAAGCATCCAGGTGCACCTGTGGTGTCAGCAAGGGTACGGGGGTAACAGCAAGGCCTGTGGCGCTCAGATGATGGGCAGAAGGAGAGGCTGGCTGCAGGCTCTTCCTAAAAATATTTTATTTTATTTTCAATTGCTCCAGGCTCTTTTTATTTTTTTAATTTTTTTAAAGGTTTTATTTATTTCTTTAGAGGGGAAGGAAAAAGAAAGGGAGAGAAACATTGATATGAGAGAGAAACATCGATTAGTTGCCTTTTTTGTATGCGCCCTGACTGGGGACAGAACCTGTAATCCAGGCATGTGTCCTGACTGGGAATCAAACTGGAGACCTTTCGCTTTGCTGGATGACACCTGACCAACTGAGCCACACCTGTCAGGGTACTGCAGGCTCTTTTTCAATGTTTTCCATTTTATCCTTTATTTTCTTAATGTAAAAGTCACATGTAGAAAAATTGGAATGTTTGTATAAAGACACAACAGAATTTAGCCCAAATCTTACTAAGTGCTGTTAGCAGGTTAGCTTATTTCCACTACTGACTTGTCTAGTATCATTATAGCTCTTTCCTCATTTCTCTTCAGGAGGAAATCTCTGAAATCAAAGCAGAGGGGAACCTGGAGGCCGTCTTGAATGCTTTGGATACAATAGTGGAAGAAGGCAAAGACCGCAAGGAGCCTGCCTGGTGAGGAGGACCACGGGAGGGCTCATGGAGGAACAGAAAGCATTTTAGGATCTTGAAGGAGCTTCTTTTGTGATGAACCCATATGCATGAGACTCTGGGCTCACAAAGAGGACCCTGTGAACAGGGACAGGTGGGGAGGGCAGACACCAGCCAGTAACGGAAAACAGCGAAATGCATGGCCCTTCTAGGGGAAGAGAGCCCTGGGGCAGGTGCATGCAGCCCAGGGTTTGTGACAGCCCTAGGGAACCTTCCTGGGGAAGGTTTCAGGATTTATCCAGTCCGTGGGTGAAAGGGTAGGGGGAGTGGGGGAGAAGGCGGAACAGTGGGCTTGCAGTCTTAGGTCCATTAGGCTGGCCCAGACATCTGGTTTTTATTCATTTGTTCATTCAACAAATATTCAGGGAGCATGGACTGAACACCCAGTAGTGTTTTAGATGCCCGAGATTTAGTAGTGAACAAGACACAAAAGACCTTCTCCTGGAGCTGACATCTCAGTGGGTAGCCCTGCCCCCTGGAATATCCTGTGCAGGATGGAGACAGGCCTTGGGATGACGAGGAGAGAGTTGAGGCCACCAAGACCACAAGTGGCCTGAGCTCCTGCCTCCCACCACCCTCTCCTGCCTGAATAGGACACTAGGCCAAAGGGAGTAAAAACCCTTTTTGTGCTTTCCAATTTTTTTTTGTATGCTTTGTGACCTTAATACTTAAAAGAATTAAGTTTTGTAACTGCAAAAGAAATTTTAAAAGAACTTACAGTGGCTTCCACTCCAATGCCCATCACAACTAACCCATCTCCTCCTTGAGCATTCAGGACCCCCCTATAATCTTGCGTCCCCAGACCTGTCTTTTCCTTAGATTTCCCTGTTCGCTAACACCAGGACCTCTCCAGGCCTGGGCCCACCGTCAGGCAGCCGCTCCACCCGGGAGGGCTCATCCTGCCACCACCATCCCCACACCTCTCCAGCGTGGTCCATAGGACAGACGCAAAAGCTGAAAAGTCACCTCCAGCCCTGGACTGTTAGAGACGGGGAGTGTGTGTGGACGAGAAGGGGAGAATGTGCGCACGGCTGGCAAGGCTTGTGTGCATATTACTAGCAGATTGAGAAGGGGAGCGGTGGATTCCTGGGCATCGACGCTGAGGAACAGGAGGTTAGCGTTTTGACCAGGAGCAGGAGTCACGCAGTTGGGTCTTAGGAGCTGAGAGAGACCCAAGGAAAGACCTTGAAAGCCAGTCCAACGTGAGACTGGAGGTGGGAATATCAGTGATCAGAATTGGAAGTAGAGCTCTCACCCCGCACCATCCTCTGCCTCCCATCCCGTGCTCCCTGCTGCCCTCCAGGCGCCCTAGTGGGATACCGGAGAAAGATCTGCGCAGCACCTTGGTGCCCTACTTCCTGCAGCAGCGGGACACCCTGCAGCGCCGCGTGCAGAAACAGGAGGCTGAGAACCGGCAGCTGGCAGACGCCGTCCTGGCCGGGCGCAGGCAGGTGGAGGAGCTGCAGCTGCAGGGCCAGGCCCAGTGGCAGGCCTGGCAGGTGAGTGCCGCGGCCTTGCCCTTGGACACGTGTTCCCCTGCTGCAGCTGAGCAGACGGACCAAGAGAGGTCAAAGGATGAGGGGAACGCTTTGGGGGCCCTTATTCAAAATGGGTCCTGCTCTTCGGAGGCACAGCCTAGCTGACCGAGGCACCCAGCCTGCCATAAGCATCATTAAGTGGGGTGGGGGGACTTCCTCACATGCCCTGTTGAGTCTGTGACGTGAGCTACAGACCCATGCCATTCTGGGGGAACCCAGGCCTCAGGCAAGGACAGTAGGTAGAAAGGGTTTGGGTTTTCTCCTCTCCCAAGTGTGCAAGGGGACACTCCTCCATATCCAAGTAGGGGTTAACCCTCTGTAGCCCTGGTTGCTCTGCATCATGTGCCTGCTGCCCGGTACCTTCAAAAGGCGTGCAGTAGAATGTCTTCTGGAGCTTTCATGTGTGTCCTTTGAGGGTGGACCGAAATTTTGAAAGCGGCCAAAGTCACCTGGGGCCAAGTTGGTGAATGAAGGGAAGAAGGTGATCAGGCTGAGTGGCAGATTGCAGATGTGGCTGCAGAGTGATGAGATGGATTTTCTTCCTGGTTGAAAATTCAGTTCCAAAGGAAGGGTTCTAGGAGGGCTCGAGCATTGGCACCTGGTCCCCCGCCTCTTTTACATGTCCAACTTATGTCTACTTACAGCCATTTGACAGCTCCCTTCCCGGGGCAGAAACTCCTGTTCCCAAGGGGAACAGGTCCCAAATTCTGGAACCATTCCCAAATCCGGGAATGGCTCCGGGTACCCTGATCTTCTCTTCCCGAGACTTGTCAGCTGGGCCTGAAGACCCTGCGCCAGCCTGAGCGAGGTCCTGAGCCTCGAAGAGGCAGCAGCCGGGGGATGGCTGGTGGCTTGCTCTGCTCCCTCTCGTCCGCATCCCCTTCGGTCTCCCCACGTAACAGGCTGACCCTGGGGACCCGAGCAGCAGGAACCAAGATGGTTGTGACCAAAGTCCTCAGCCGGGTGCTGTCTTGTGAGGCAGGGTCCACCGGTCAGAGCTGTGCCTCTGGCACCCTGGAGGCCGTCCTGCTGAGTCCCCAGGCAAGACGCTGCTCTGCCATTGCCACTCTATCACCATGAGGCCCGGTCACTCCTGCCTGGGTCCTGGCTTCCAAACCGGCCAAATACTCCTCCCAGGACCCTGCCCGCTCTGACACTCAGGCCTTCTGTTTCAAGGAGAATGGAGTCCCCTGCTCTTACGGCCACACCCCTCCCGTTGCAGCTGCAGGCCCAACCTGCGCTTGGAGTGGGCCTGCTGGATTGAGTGTTCAGCGCTGAGAATTGTGTGGAAGCTTCAAAGAGCTCTTTTTCACCATAATTCCCATGTCTGTAGCCCAGCTAATTTCTTTGTTAGGTATCTCCAGGGGGGTCAGAGGATGAGGATGACTCTTTGGGGGTCCTTATTGAAGACAGGTTCTGCTTTGGGGAGGCCCAGCCCATATGGCCAAGGCACCCAGTCTGCCAGAAACACCGGCTGAGTCCAGGGGTTGGGGACTTCTTATGTGCCCTTCCACGAGCCACAGACTCACATCCTTCTGGGGGAACCCAGGCCTGGGGGCAAGGACAGCAGGTGGAAAGGGTTTGGGTTTTCCCCTCCAAATCTGTCTCTTCTCTCCCATTGATGACAGGCTCTACACAAAGGACAGAAGGAGCTGGTGGCCATGCTGAGGGAGCCTGAGTAAGGGGGAGACGTGCAGGCCGGGAGTAGAAGGTGGTCAAGATCGGAAGCCTGTAGCAAGCTGCCCCTGAGAATGACTGAAATGTTGCCCCACCCCTAAGCAGTGATAAAATTTGCTGAGGGATGATGCCTGAGCGGCCCCCACTGCCATTGTGCCTTGGGACTCCCTTGAGGTCACACATACATACTACCTTCAGATTCCTCTCCGTTTCCTTATAATTTGAGGCTTGTTTGCCAGGTCCCACCTGGGAATCAGTCACCATACCTTCGCTCCTTCAGGTTCTGGTTGACACCTCCACTTCCCCCTCCCCGCACCCCCCGCCCACACACACACGACCCCCTGCCAGCTCCCGAGCCCTCCCTAGGACCTGGCTTGGGGAATCTGTTTTCAATCTCCGCTGATTGCCATGTTCTCTCCACATCCGTAAATAAACTTCCTCTACTACACTGTAATCTGTGAGGACGCTTCCTCTGCCTGGGGCACTCGTGGGCCAAGACCCCCTCCTGGGCTCCTGAGTTCTGGGCCCTCAAGGCCTCAGTTGCAGTCCACTGAGAGCCTTCAGTCTTGGCTGGGTTGGCAGGCATGTATCTGACCATCATGTGCAGAAGGGCAATGACCCCTTGTCACAGCAACCAGGACCCCTGGGTTCCTTGAGACCAGGACAAACTTTCAGGGGCAAAGAGCCCGCTCTTCTCTTTGCCCGTTGGTTTAATTCTGAGAAAGGGTCCACTGGTGGGCCGCAGTGTTTGCATCTGGGGAGTGCACACCGAGCCCTCCACATAGCTGAGCGCTTCGTCCTCTGGTGTCTCACGCCGCACCCGGCCGGGGCCAGCAGAGCAGCAGGAGGGGCTCAGCAAAGGCGTGACAGGCGCTTCCTCCAGACTTTTCCTGGTGAGAGTCCACCCTAACTTCATGGAGACAGGTGTGGTTGGGCCTGTCTAGGAGCACTGAGTCACTCAGGAAGATACCAGGTGGCCCCAGCTTGCGACCCCTACCCTGACCCCCTAAATTGAGCCCATGGCTCTTTCTGTGCCCCTGGAGCTGCAGCCCTCAACCTGCCCAGCGACAGGGGAGTGCGGTCGCCCTCCCTCCTCCTCTCCAGGCTGAGCTGAGGCAGCAGAGCTCAGGTGCGGGGTGGGGTTTTTCAGGCTGGCCGTTCTGTCCCTTGGAGGACAGGTCTCCAAGGTTTTTCATACTGGGGAGACTGCAAGGACAGGAGGGGAGGGTCGGGAGCCAGAAGCGCTCTCCATCTCTCTGCTCATCGGAGGCACGGGAGAAGGCGTCCCCACCACACTGACCGCCTGGCCTGCCCCCGACACAGCGTTGTCCCTAACCTCATGCCCTGCCGGCCCTACCTGGGTTGGCTTTTGGCTCTTGGCCCTGTGCTACCTGACCATTTCCTCCTGTTCTCACGCGCAGGGCCTGGCCGGAGTCAAGCCGCCCCACACCAGGCCTGCCTTTGGTGTCTTGGGGGTGAATGAGGCCATCGCTGGGCACTCCCTCTCTGGGGTTTGGCTCCTGCCCACAGCTGAGAGCGGAAATCACAATCTGCAGAACTGCAGCCCAGCTCCGCTCCGATCTATTTTGGACTCTGGGCCCCTTCGTCTCTGGGTCCCCCCACACCCTTCCTGGCTGCTTCAGCTGGTGCTTAAACTGAGGCTAAGATTGGGTCTCGGAAAGGGAGTGAGGATGGGCTGGGGGGCCTCGAGGGGCCCCTTGAGGGAGGGATAGGGGACATCCAGAGGCTGGCAGTCTCGGTCAGCACCAACCCCCCTCCTTCACTCCCAGGGGCCTGCCTAGGCTGCCCTGGCTCCAACCACAACATCCTTTGGGGTTTGGCCTATAGATCGTGGGCGGATGACCCCCAAATAGCTCTGGCAGATTCCCCTGTGACCCACCCGCACCATGATCAGGCCTCCCCACCCTGGCTTCCGGGCCACAGCCCAGAGGGTATAAATGGTGCTGGAGGCTGACGGAGACAGACCAGCTGAGTCCTAGCAGCAGACTCAACGCAGCCTCGGAGACACACCATGAGGCCCTTCGTGCTCCTCGCCCTCCTGGCCCTGGTCGCACTCTGCCTCACTGCCCCGGCAGGTGAGTGACCCCAGTCGGCCCTGGCCAGTGAGGGGGGCCTCCCATGGCCTCACTTCGTCCTTCCACTGGCAGTCCCTTTGGCGATCTGACCTCCCTCCTGTAGGCTCCATCCATTTGCCACCCCCCCCATCCTGTCCTTGTGCAGCGAGAGGGGAAAGAGCAAGCTGCCAGCGAGGCAGGGTGGGGGTGGGGGGTGCGCATAGGGGCGAGCAGGGGCGAACCAGACTCCTTTACTTTGCAGATGCAAAGCCCAGCGGTGCAGAGTCTGGCAAAGGTGCAGGTAGGAGGCAGGCCTGATACGGGCTGTGCGCCACATCCCTCATCTGCCCGGCACTCCCTCACCCTGGTCCCCTCGGCCTCATCCCCCCTACCCTGCTGGCTCCTGTCTGGCTGTCAGGCCAGCTGGCTCCCCGCCTCATCCTTCCAAACTCACAGCCACCTGATCCCTGCCCCTCTGCTCTACAGCCTTCGTGTCCAAGCAGGAGGGCAGCGAGGTAGTGAAGAGACTCCGACGCTACCTGGATCAAGGGTTGGGGTGAGAGAAAGGAGGTGCTGGGAGGGCAGGCGGGCCCCTGGTGAGGACTCCGGAGCCCCGTATGCAGTGGGAGGGGAAGAGGCATTTTGTGTGGAGGCTGATGCCACTGTGTTGGGTTCTCAGAGCCCCAGCCCCCTACCCAGATCCCCTGGAGCCCAACAGGGAGGTGTGTGAACTCAACCCGGATTGCGACGAGCTGGCTGACCACATCGGCTTCCAAGAGGCCTACAAGCGCTTCTACGGCACAGCCTAGAGCTCGCGCCCCTGCTGGCCCGCCGGCCCCCCATCCCCTTCCCACTCTGGCTCCTGTCTGTGACCCTCCCCCTCCCCTCACCCTGACCTCCCTGCCCTACAAGTGTGGGGTGACAGTCCGCCCAGCTGCTCCAGAATAAACTCCAGAAGAGGAACTGGTGGGGTCTCTTTGTCCATCTATGGAGTTGGAGGGGCGGTTTGCTGGGAGGATGGGGTATGTGGCAAATTCCAAAAACTGCTTTCCGAAGTCTGTTGATTTATTTTTTTTATTTGTACCTGCCTCATTCCAGAAGCATTGAAGGTGGCCTTCAAAAGTAACTAGGGTTCCTCTCTGTCGCCGCACCCTCCCCTCACTGCTCCATCCATGACACACCCAAATAGACCCAGACCCCAAAGGCCTGGACACCTGGAGCACATGACTATGACCAGGACAGAATCATTGCTACAGGCAGAAAGCAGAAGGCACTGCCCGGTCGGGGAGGTGAGGGCAGTAGTGGGCCTCCTGGCCGGGTTAACAAGCCTTCAGGGCAGGCCTAGGTTAGTCATGTTAGTTCTTCCTTGGGCTGAGCAGACTTCCAGGAGCACCAGAAACAGGACCCGATGAAAGGGTCCCAGCACCTCCCAACCCCACCTCCGCTGGGGTAGGGGGGCTCTCCAGCCTGGACACAGTCCCCTCCCTTTCTCAGACCCTCAGCACCTCCCCGAGCCCCATCGGAGAGCGCCCTCGCTGACCCCCTGCTCTCTGCCGGCCCCAACAGCTCCTCTCTCCCCTCCTCTGCCTTTTATCCTCTGCACTCTCCCCTCAGTCACTCCTTGTTCCAGGCTCAGTTGTGCCCCCACTTTTCCAGGTCTGGGTCTGGGCTCCTCCCCAACACCAAGGCCTGGCCTTTGCCTCCTTCCAGGGACAGGCTCAGAGATGGGGCCTCACTGTTGTTTGGCCTTCGCAGCCCCCTCCAGTGGGCCACCCTGCAGCAGGGGGCATGTACTGGGGGCCTGAAATAGGGAGGCTGTGAAGGCAGCAATGATGAGCAGGTTCCCGGCCACCGCCAAGCCTAGTGTGGCCACTGTGCCTGCCAGGCCCAGGTAGGGGTCGTGCGGGGCCAGCCAGTCTTGGCGAGATCCCATGTCAGCCAGCACCGCCTCCAGCTGGAAGTGGGTGCCCAGCACGGCACAGATGTGGAATAGCTGGTGGCTGTGGCCTGTGGGGAGGGCGGGCAGGTCAGGGCACATTCCCCATTCCAACTCACCCTTTGACCGATGGCAAGTCACCCCATCCTCTGGGCTTGCTACTACCCTAAAATTAGGAGTAAGAAAACCTGACTATTGGAAGGAGTGAATGAGCTGATACGCACAATACATAACACCCCTGGTATAGGTGCTACCAGTTTTGCTGTTATCTGAGAAGTGAGGGTGGGCCTGCACCCTGAGGACCCTCTAGTCCTCCGGCTGCGATACGCCGTGTACTCAGTTCACTCTCTGCGCCCCGTGCCCTTTCCAGGCCAGGCCGGCCTGCTCTCACCAATGTAGTCAAAGCGTCCTGGTGCCAGCCTCTCAGGCAGGTGAGAGGCGAAGAGAAAACCAGTGAGCAGTGCGCATAAGAGGTGGTAGCCATGGCTGGTGCTCAGCGCCTCCTGCCCGCAGCTGTGGCCCCTGCCCCAGCACAGTCCCAGCTGGCAAAGGAAAACCAAGGCTGAGCGGGAGGCGCTTGGGCAGGGGACCCTGATGTGTCCGGGGACTAGTGGAAATGGAGGGGAGCGGCACAGCCAAGCTGGGTGCTGGGCCTGGAGGGTGGGCAGCAGGGCTGAGGTGAAGGGTTGAGGGGGCAGGACTACAAGGGGCACTATGAGGGGCAGGACAGGAAAACGGGGGCCTGGGCAGGGGCTCCGGGTGCCCTTACCCGATAGAAGAGTGGGAGGTTGTCAAAGAGGAAGGGGTAGGCGAAGGCTCCCATCCGGAGGATCTTGCTAAGCCCAGGGCTTTCCAGCTCAGGGAACCTGGGAGGCAGGAAGGAAAACCTGGTCACCATCCTGGTGCTAGGGTGGGAGTCAGAGGAAGGCAGGGGGCCTCTGACCAGAATGGAATGTCATTGTAGCTTAGTGACACATGAGCCCTCTGTAAATGACCACGTCAGTGAAATGGGGATAAAGACATCTGCCTCTTAGGTGGCTGGGGGAATTAAAGGAGACAGTGCAGGTATGCTGCCAGCACACAGGCGCTGGGACACGGTAAGTCTCAACAAATGGTCCTGTTGCTCTTCATGCTGTTCCAGAGCACACAGGCACAGGCACAGCCACAGGCACAGGCACAGGATTGCTGGCCTCCCATAGATCCCAAGTGTCAAGTGTGATCGCGGGCGCCCTGTCCTGTCCCTCCACCTTCCCCTTCAACACAGACCAAGAACGCACCGGGAGTAGCAGGAGAGGCCGGTGCACAGGAAGGAATTGAGTACGGCGGCAGGCACAAAGAACCGGTGCAGGCGGCTGTGCAGCCAGGAGGCCGGCATGGAGTAGGCGGCATAGGGGAAGGCGCAGCCTGAGGGGGCGCGGGGCAGGAGCTGAGGCCGAAGGGCAGGCTTCGGGTGGGACACCCCACCCTCTTCCGGCGCTCGCCATCCAGGGCCCCCCTCCATCCCGCGCCTTCCCGCCTGCCAGCACCAGCGCCATCCCCCACGCCCCGCCCCGCGCCCCCCGCGGGGCTCACCCAGGCTGTAGAGGCTGAGCGCGCCATAGTCCAGGAAGTAGCAGACGTGCCGTGCGCGGGGCGACATGGAACTGAAGGTGTGCGCACAACATGATGCGAAAGGGTACAGACAAGCAGGCAGCAGGAAGACGAGCAGCGGCCAGTGGTAGGGCTCCGCCCGGAAGCCTGGGCCCTCCACGAGCGCCAGTAGGCGCCACAAGAAATACCTGCGGTGGCACATGCTCAGGTGACCGCGGGGGGTGGAGTGGGGGTGCCCGACTCCCGCCCGCAGCCAAGGACAGCCTCCCTCACCAGGTGGGCAGAAAGTGAGTCCAGATGTTGACAGTCTCGTTGGTCATCTGAAAGGAGCTGAGGACACAGTCCAAGGCCGAGCTGGTAGGGCGGCGGTAACCAGACATGATGCTGTCTTCCCAGAACACCTGGGGTAGTGGTGGGGGTGGGGGGTCACTATGCTGGACCATCTCTCTCCATGAGAGAGCTGTGGAAGCAGGATTGAAGAGAATGGGCTGGAGGTTGCAGTGGCCCCAAAGCCAAAACAAGTCTGCCTTCCTTCTTATCCCAGGTTCCAATACCCAGAAAGCAGAAGAGAAACAGAAGAGCCAGCAGAAGGGGAGAACGAAGGGCGTTCTGGGGAGGGGGACTGAAGGAGAGTTCTGGGCCTAGGGAGCCGTGTCACAAGCCTGTTCCTTAGAGTATCCCACGGGAATGGGAGAGATGAGGGTGAGCTTGCAGCAAGTACTTCCCCACTGCTAAAAGGGGGAGAACCTCAGCCCCGGTCAGCCTCCTGGGGAGTAGGAGTTGGTGAGTGTAGCCCCTCACCCGGGGGACCTGGTGGACTCGAAGGAGTTGGGGTAGCTTGAGACTGAGCATGGTGGCTGGGCACCTCCACGTTGACCTAGAGACAGAGTGGGGGTGGGGGAGGAAATCAGGCATCTGCTCCCATCCATAGACTCCTTTCCACCCAAGTCCAGCGTGGACCTGGTCACTGACAGGGGGGACTGTGGTATGCATGGGTGTTGGTGTAGCAGCTAGATGGCCACCAAGCTGCTTACCTCAGGCCAGGGGAGGCTGGCCCAGCTTCCCTGCCTCCTCCCCATCCTAGCCTGGGGGCATTCAGTGTCCCGCTTGGGCAGCTGGTCAGCCTTAGGCCAGCATAGAGTGGAGGGGCTTCCTCCCCAGCCAGAATGCTGCCTCAGTAACCCTGGATTCTGGGTCCAGGTCCCCAACCCCACAGTTCTGTCTCAGAAGCCTAACTCATAGAGATCAGCGTGCAGAGACCCCAAGCCCACCCATCACCACCGAAAGCCCTTGGCCCAGGGTGTGCAGGCTGAGCACAGAAAACTCATGGGTCTCGGAGGGAGAATTCCTGAAGAGGCCAGATGCTGGGAGTCAAGGAATCAGGAAGATGCCTGGCTCTTCTCTGAGGACGTATGTGCCCCTGGGGATATTCTGGGTCCCTGGCCCTCCTGAACCCCATGCCCCTTAGTCCCAGACCTGTGTGCTGCTTCCGGGTGGTCGTGGCTCTGCTGCCCCGCCCGCCTCAGGCCACCTCTCCCAGGCACATTCCTTGGCACAAGTGGTGGGGCTGGGCCAGCTAGGCGGGTGGAACAGCCCCAGAAGGAGGAATAGGCCACGCCTCCCATCTACCAAGGCCAAAACTTTACGGCAACCCTAGAGCCTAGCCCCGCCCCTCTTCCTGCTACCAGCTTCACTGGTGCACAGTGGGCCTCACACCACAAGTCGGCTGGTCCCCAATTTGGGGGCTCTCTGCTCCTGAGCTGGGCTGGGCACAAAGACGGGCCTAGTGCCTAGTCCCTGCACCCCGACTGAGCTTTAATATAGAGCCTCAAAAGGAGCAGGAGCAGGGTGGTCTGACCCATCCGGAGTGCTGTCCAGTGAAGGCGGGGTGGAGGGGGGTCGCGGGGGGCGCCGGGTGGGAATGATGCTGGCTGGGCTCTAGCTCCCCTCGGGACCCCTTCCGTTAGCACATGGTTTAGAGGTCTGTGTAGAGTGTGTGCTGTAGCCTTGGAGATGGTGGAGGGGGCCCTCATTCACCAAAATGGCTGGCAGAGCCCTAGGTAAGCGTCCTTACCCAGACCTTGACTGGCGCTCCTGAGCAGGTGGGTCTGCAGGCCCGGGGTCCTCCTGCAAGCCAGGCCAAGAGGAGGGAGAGGAGAGTGGCAGGCCAGCAGGCCAGGCCTGGGCAGGGAGTGGGGACAAAGGGGAGCCAGGGAACAATCCCAGCCTTGTGCAGCCTCCAGGGAGCAGGGGAGGGTGGCCCAGCCCCATTAGCAGGCAGCTCACTGGGCCTTCTGCACACAGCCACCTCCTCCAGCTGACTCAAACCCACTGAGATCAGACTGGCCAGGACAGGCTGCGGCCCAGCCCGGATGCAGCTAGTGTGTTGCAAGCTCCCTCAGAGCAGGCACTGCCACCACTGCGGTCCTCCCCGGAGCTGACAGTGAGCTCTGCCACAGGCTGGGCAGAGAGAATCCTAAATCCTGGGTCTGGGCTTCAGAAACCACCCCACCGTGCCCACTGCCTCCTAGCGCCTGGCACCCGGCAGTGTCCAGAGCAGATGCGTTTAGCAAACACTGGTTCAAGCACATGGGATTTGCCAAGTTTACTTCCCAAAGCCACACGAGGTTGCCAGTCCTTGCAAATAGGGATTGAGGCTCATTTCAAGAGCCCCTCGGGATCCCTTCCTCCCACTTAAGTTTCTCTGATTTAGAGGATGCAGCTGGAGACAGCAAACCAGACCCAGGAAGCACTGTCGCCTTCAAAATAATGGTTTCACCCATCACTCTTGTTAAGGCACCAGCTCGGATCACAAGATCAATAACCTTGACAATGTCACAGAACCATCTCTGGAGCTTTTGCTGGAATTTCCAACTTCTCATTTCAAATGAGTTCACCTTGAAGGAACTTTTCCAAAATGCCATTTTTTGCACACCATCTCCAACATCCCAATAAAACTGTACAGAAAGACACCAGAAGACAGGGAGTGGGCATCAGGGGTCTTTATTAAGTGATGCTTTAGTCTCTGTCAGGGATTGGGAGTGGGGGTAACCCTTCTCTCCCCGCCCCAGGTTCTCCCAGACTTGGTATCTTGGAGGAAGGAGGCAAGAACCTGCTCTCCTCTGAGAACAGCCTTGGAAAGCTAAGCTAGCATAGGGGTGAGGGACAGCAGAGCTGAGATCCCCACCCTCCACCCCCCCCAGGGGAGGAGCCAAGGCAATCCTGGCTAAAGTCACTCCCGACAGCCCTGCTCAGGCTGCTCCATTCACTGCTCTGAGCGATTCATGATCTCTGCTCACACAGTCACCTCCACACGCCAAAACCCGGCCCCATGCTCAGCCCCACCAGGCCTTCGGGCCTGGGGAAGGGCACAGTAGGAAGCCCATTAGGATGAGGATCCCTGACTAAGCAGCTTCAGGAGGCCTCTCCTTTCTCTAGTCACGGGGTTGGTGGCCTCAGACTGCACCCCCTCTCCTCTTACTGGCATCCCACTCCCAGCACAGCAGCCAAGAGCACAAAGCACAGCGACTGCGGGGCTGGTGGGCACAGGAACCCTCACTGGCATAGGGGCCTGGCTGCCTGCAGTCGTTGGCAGGGCCTGCCCCCTGCCCTGGAAGCTGGGCCGAGGGAGACAGTAAGCAGAAGCAGGGCGCCTGGGTGCGCAGCCCGGGCAGCGAGGGGGGTGGGGGTGCAAGCCCAGGCCCTGCTCGGAGTGCAGCGAGCTCCAGGCCACTCCTCTGAGTCCCCGGAGTCCCAGAGCTGTCCAGCCCGCACAAGGGTAAATGAGACGGTGGGTGGTTTTTGAGAAGGGTCTGCAGAAAACCACTCAGATAGCGTTACCCACTCTTCCCCCAGGGCTGGAGGGTCCAAACTCCGAGCCCCAATCACCCTGCATCTTGGGTGAGGAAGAATGGCCTCTTCTGCCATCCCTTCCCCTCGGAGGTCCAGGAACCACTCCGATGAAACGCAGACACCCATGCCTGCCACCTGCCTCTGGGGACAGCAGGAGGGTGAGGCAGAAAGGCTGACTAGGGGCCCACAGGCCTCTCCTGCTCCAAGCACTTTCCTCACTTTCCTGACATCATCTTGGCAACAGGGGGACCCCACCCTCCCAGCTGGCTCCTGGGCCCTCCCTCAGCTCCTGTGCAGCTGGGCTTCCTTCCTGAGTGCGTGCGTGAGTCTGCGTGAGTCTGCGTGTAGTGGGATGACTACAGGTGGTCCTGGCAGCCAGGGAGGGCAGGAGAGATCTGGAGTCAGCCCCACAGCAGGGCTTAGGGGTCAATCTCAACCAATCTCCTTCCACTGCTTGTAGAAGTCCAGAACATTCTTGATGTCCACACTGGCATGTGCAGCGGCCTGCAGGGCTGCCTGTGGAAAGGGGGCAAGACAGGTGGGCGTGAGTCCGATCTCCTGAATGGGACAAGACACGGATGGGCTAGGTTAGGGGTTGGGAGAGAAAAGGGCAACTGTCTGGAAGATCCAAGGAGGAGTCTACTCTGGTACCTCTTCCCCACCCCAGCCCCTCACCTCACCCCATAACCCACCTGCATAGGCCCCGAGAGCACGCCGGGGTTGTCCAGCGGAAGGCCTGTGATGATGGTCACCATGCCACTTGGGTCCTCCTCACCGGCCCCCTGGGCCAGAGTCAGCTGTTTGCAACTGTCCAGGATCTTATAGAGAGTCCTGGTGGGGAGGAGAGGAAAGGTAGGCCAAACCCCAGCACTACACAGCCTGAACAGCAGCATTTCCAGGGCACAGGGGAAGCTAGGGATCGGGAGGGCACCCGCAGGAAGCAAAAGCAAGCAGGCAGCCCAGAGAGCGGGTCCTGGAAGCTGGTACTGGAGGCTGTGCTACGGGGACTGGACAGAGGTGCACGGAGGACACCAAGCCCAAGTTTCTCAAGGCCCCAGGGACTCGGGTGCTGATGCAACTTCTTCCTCCAAGGTGAGACTTGCAGGAGGCCCCAGGCTGGTCCTGCCACCGGTTTCAGAGTCCCTTGGCCCTGTCCGGCTCTCTCGGGGAGTGGCACAGAGGAGCAAGGCAGGCAGCCTTAGGTTCTAGGGGTGGGGGCTGAAACTTTACCAGGCGTCTGCATCCTGTCTCTTCAGCTTATGTCGCTCAAAGCTCTTGCCTACCTCTTTCTGGCAGCGAATGTACCTGCAAAGGACACAGGAAAGTGGAGATGGGGGGCAGAGGGAGGGTGCCTCATACAAAGCCGACCATTGTGGTTCAGGGGCCTGGTTCTACAGGAGTGGGGAGGGGGCACATCTCTCCCATCACAGGTCTCCTGGGAGTCATTTTGAAGTTTCCTGGCTGGCTGGCTGGCTTTTCTTCCCGATAACATCAATTCTTCGGTTCCTCCCAGGGGGAGGAGCTGGGAGGGAGAGCAGCAGATGCTTTTCAAGTCAGGGCTTCTGGAGACAAGGTCCAAACAAGTAGGCTTTGTGCAGCTTCCTGGCCAGGTGAGGGTAGATGTGGAGGTGGGGTGGGGCATGAGGGGCGGCAGCCAGCAGGGAGGTCAGAAGGAAAGGCCTAAGTGGGGCTGAGCACCTACATGCTGCAGTCTGCCCATCATGGCTTCCGCGGGAGGTGGGAAGCCGGAGGTCGCTCCGGGGAAAACACTCCCACCCTAGCACACCTGATCACCAGTCCTAACCCTAAAGCAGGAGAAACTCTAGCCGAGGCTCCCAGAGCCGGCAGCCGTGGGGTCTGCTCCCCTCTCCCCATGAGGCTGATTTCAAGTTTGCCCCATAGGGCCGAGGACAGCAGGTAAGAGCTCCCCTGCAGGGCCCCCGGCTCCTCCGATCATCCTCTATTTCAGCACCTAAAACCTTAACGTATTATGTCTTTGGGCTTCCTCCCCAGCAGCGAGCAAACAGTGAGCAGGAACTCCAAGTGTCTGCCTTGTCCACAGGTAACAAGTAACACATAAGCACCTGTTGTCTCGAAGACAGATACGGGGCTCAGCGCAGGTCTAGCACTCCTGCACTCACCTGTTTCCTTTTTTAAACTCTGCCTCTAGGTATCGAATCCCATCCCGGGCCCCTGGGTGTTCCTTCTTCAGCAAATCCAGGCCATCAATCACTAGTGGGCAAGGCAGGGATGGGAAAGGACAGGACAGGTGAACTCAAGAGCGCTGTGACACGGGCGCTACCGGGAGCACCCGAGCTCCTCCAGCACACACTGCGGGGGGCGAAGGGCCTGAGAGGCCTCCTGAAGTCTTTTCAAAGTAGGACCTTCTGCCAGTCATGTACTTGGCAATTTACCATGTACTTTCACTTAACATATTCTCATCTGTTTCTCCCAACCATCCTGTGAGTCAGGGTTTACCAATGATCATCATGCCCATTTCACAGATGAAATGGCTGAGGTTCAGAAATGGTGGAACTTGACCCAGGCCACTGTGTATAAACTGCACCCCAAGTAAGGGTCTCTCAATCCCAAGCCCAGAGTGTCTTAATCCCACTGTATCTGTCCCCCCAACTCCCCAGTATGCTCACCTGTCCTTGGGATGATGACAATGAAGCGGCCACTGGTGGCCAGCTGGCGGATGATGGGGAGGTGTTGGCAGAGGGCCTGGG